GAGGAAAGAGAGGTGGAGGGAGACAAAGGTGTGGAGAGGGAGGTGGTATAGGGAGAAAAGGTGTGGAGAAAGTCAGCCAGGTGTGCCGCAGGTGTGTGAAATGGTCAGTTTGCGGTGAGCACATGGCTGTGTTATCATGCCTCTTGTATACTAGATATTGTAAACATAAACAGTGTACAGTATATATATATATATATATATATATATATATATATATATATATATATATATATATATAAATATATATATGATCACAAGAACCATACAAAAATATCTTAACCTGGAAATATAACACAAAATACAGCATGAACTCTGCCTACTCCTTCAAGTCATCACCTCACAACACGTCATCAACTCACGACGTCATCATCTCACGTCACGTCACCACTCCTTGTATCATTAACACATACAAATCCCCGCCCCGGAGTGTGTGTAATGCCGCGGTGCTTACAGACACGGATGCAGGTCTCAAAGATCAAGGTTAGTTATACGGTAGAGGTGTTCCTTGACGACCTCACGTAAAAGTCAACCAATTAGGCTCTTTGATCCATCTAAGTATCTAACACCACGGAAGCACAATATGGACAAAAACTAGCAAAATGATAAATTAGGTATAAATATTTACCTTTACCCATACAAAACAGAAAAGAAATATACTATCACTAATAACTGGCTAAAATACTCTCAGTAATACACAACAAATAATTGGTTAGTTTTTCGCTATGGGCCAAACATCCCTAAACTAAATTACGAGTTATATTTCCCATGGAAGATTAAAGCCTCGGGACACAAACACACACTGATCCACATTGATAACATAAAAAAAGTAAAAGTTCCAGTCGTGATAACAATGAAACGGCCGATATAACATTTCTTCAAACGTTCTTTTTTTTTTTTACCGTGGGCGGAAAACTGAAGCCATGTACAGGAAATTTCTTAAAAGTTACAACCCGGAACAAGTAAAATGTATCAAGTGTTTACGACATATGACCTACTCATATAATAAATCAAACGAGGTAAATGAAATATAGAGGTGAAGACTAACAAACAGACGCAAAATTAATATCTCCCTTTTACCCTGCAGGTGTTGTGGGGAGGCATAAAATAAAGAAACAAATTCACAGAACTCTCAGCGTACGGTAGTTTCCTTGGTTTTCCGTTCTGACCTTCACCTTTCATTAAATGTTATCCAAACAGATCTTAACGAGATAAGAGTTAACTTTCTAGTATGACCTTCTAGGAGATGTAGTCAAGAGGCAGCACAAGTTCATTGTTTGGAGACATGAGATATTTGAGATCATTAACCGTTGACGGAGAAAAAATCTTAGGTACCGGGTATGTCTTCCTCCTTATAAGTAAACGTTCATTTTAACTGGTGGTCCTAGACTGTGTCAAACCATAGTGGAGCTGCGTATATATCATGTCCTGTGGGCTTCAAGTTTCCTTACAAAATTTCGCTGTTGTAACTTCAGTGTATCTTCCAAAGCAGTAATTACCCCCTGGATCAACCTTGAAATTGGTCAAGTTTACGATAGGTTAGATGAAATCAAGGACCGGTTAGGCTATTACGAATACCTAAACCCGAGAATGACTCAAGTGTTTCAGCTTCTTGGACGTAAGGGAATATTCAGAACAAGATTTAAAATTTATCCCAATCGTAGATATGAAACCCAGCGTACCAGGAACTAATGCACCCAGTGTATGAGGGGGGCAGCAGTTGCTAGGTAAAGAAAAAACCGGTTTCAGCTTTCATCAGTAAAGTATCAGGACCACAGCCCACCATCCTGGCGTAAAAACATCGACTGGTTCACAATCCACACGCAAAACATGTGCAGGAGGCGATCTTATTAACTTTGATCTCGACAGTTTACGAGACGTGATTTCTCCCATTGTCCATGTGGCAACAAAATGCACTGAGCAAGTTTTTATTATCAGGGACATGGAAAGATAAAAGATAAAAACATATCCAAAAAGCCAATCACACAATATTAAACAATGCTTAGTAGATAAATATATGCGTGAGTAAATAAATGATAAAAGACAATGAGTTATATATGCAGGAGTAAATTAATATAACTACAATGACTGGCAAAATGCACTCAAGCGTGGCCGCCAAGCACCTGTGATGACAAAATTACGTCTTAAATCATAATCAAATAATCCCCCAACAATAATAAATACATAATAAAGTAAATAAATGAAACAGTAAATAAATAAGATAGTCAACAAGTTAGTAAATAGGATAACAAGTGATTTATCATGTAAGAATCTTTCAAAAGAGCCTTCTCATACCTACCACTGCTGATGTCACACATGGCCAGTCTTTTCAACAGCAGTACTTTACTTTTATTGTACCATTCACATTCAAGTTACTACTGTTGCACACACTTTGTAGTTCCTCCTCCAATGAAATGCCGCCGGAACACTTGTATTGCTATCACTCGCCATTATCATTCAACCCACAGTCATTCGCATCCATCATTATCACCACAACCAAAATATGGTCTACGGGTGGTCAACGTCAATCAATCGCCTTGTAGTTCCGTCTCCACCGCGTCTACTTTCTTCACTTGTATGAGTTTTATCTCTGAACTTGTATAATTATTTCTCTCATTTATCTTTCATCTTCTTTCACTTCTATCAAAGTTGTAACACTAAATGTACAGATAACATTTCTCACCCTTTTCTTTTAAGGCATCAAGTTACGTATATCAACATAACCTAACCTTACAAAACCTAATCTAAGCTAACCCCAAGTAATCAAACCAAACTCATACTCCACATAACCTAGTTTAACAAAGTACTCAGATAACTTAACAAATCCACGGAACTCAATCTAACTTAAACCTCAAATAATCTAGTGCAACTTAGCTCCCCAGACCTATTATAAACAATCCTAATCTAACCTATACCTACTTTTCCCTATGTGGTGGCAATTTATAAAAACAAACAATATCTTCTGTTGAATGCCGGTACTAATTCCCGAGTATTTAATATCAACACGGTACTTATTCAATTGATATTCAGAAAATTAATAAAAGTCGATACTTACATCTCAAAATTATCAAAGAAGCGACTTGTACGAGAAGTCTTCAAGTCATTAAGATTATATCACAACGTCACTCCTCATGCTTAGTATCTCGAGAATTTAACTTTCATTGGTGAGTCAACAACTGATTTATAGAACGGTGTAATAAAGACTTTCAGAAAAACAAGATTTAGCTCCGCCAGAGGAAAGCTAGCTATCCTGAACACGCTGGAACCAGACAGTTTAACAAGTCCTGGTTATACAATAGTTGTAATGCCCTAAGCTAAAAAAGGAAAAATATCATTCATTCCAAATATTTAAAGTCATGATATCGAAACATTGCGGCGATAAGGTTAGGTTAGGATATCTAAAGCTATCTTTATAGACCGCAAGCTATAGTAGCACCAATTTCCAGCCTTACAAAAAATTTAATACCCACCTGCTTCAACTCTCTGGCAAAATCTTGGCCGGGCACTGCAACGAGACAAGTTTCAATATCACCAAATTCCTTCCTAAACCCACCCACACCCCTTATTTACGAAACCGACTAAACCACTATTTGACTAAAACTATTGTAAAAACTGGAGCCAGGAGATAATTTCGCTCACAAAATTTCTAACCACATTAGCCAAACCCAAGAACTTACAACTGGTTCTTCAATATCAACTTTCTAAACCTACTACCGTGTACTAGTCAGCAGCAGTTTGCACCTTCCTCAGAGACGAATGCTGTCAGGGCGGTCTTCTTTTTGTCCAGACTGACGCCCGGCTACACGAGGTATCCGGGTGTTACAACTGCTACTATTCATTATTATAGTTAATTATAACGGTGATATACGAGGCGTGTGTGTCCTTGAGAAGCAAGTTCGCTACTGGAGACGGTAAGATTTTGAAACTTTAGTCAATACCTTCACGGAAATATGCAATGCGAGTACAACCCATGAAGGTATCCAAACACATAATATTCATTTTCAGTATACTCCTCACAGACTACACCAAAGAACAGTAATACATGCACATGCAGCAGGAAATTACTTTCAAAATCGGCATATTAAAAATATATCACAATTTGTACGTCATATGTTGCATCTTTAGGTTAGGTAAATTACCTTTTAAATGCCGTACCAGACGCTACCAATACAGCCCAAACCAGGTTTTGCTAAACCAAAAACAGCTGGGATAACCCTCGGTTAACTTTAATAGTTACGGTCCGTGTTTAATCTTCACCTTATACCACGTAATCTAATCAATCCTCAGTTTATACACTACCAGTACATCTAACCATCATGCCTTACACAACGCAAACTCAGCAAGCCTCACTCTTGTCTAAACTATCAAAGCAACTTAAGACCAAACGCTCGCTTCCTAAAAACTATATCGGTATTAGAGAGAGAGAGAGAGGGGGGGGGGGATAATGCAAGAAAGCCTCATTAACAATATGCTATCCCATTCACCAGCCACCTGTCGCTTATTACAAGGGAAGTGGTTGCAGCCCCCCGCCGACTGGAGCTTTAAACTGGGGCGCCAACGGAGATGCAACCAATACTCAGTACAGTAAACATACCAGAATATTACCCCCTCAGCTTATTTTACCTTAAGATTAACCACCTAAAAGCTAACCTCATTTAACCCCACAGGCAGTGTTGGTGAGTTTAATCATTAAGTGAAATAGCGTAACGTTATCTTCTGCATTTACCATTAAATGGATATATCAACAAATATCCCGCATCACAGAGAAACAAAGTAGCGGTGGCAAACACTTAACATTTACTTAAACTGATCCATGATGACCTAATACAGAGATGATTCCTTCAAAGATCCTATTTGGTGAACTATAATATGTTGAATATGCATGGGGATTATATCAGTTTTATTTACATAGTTAACGTAACGAGAATAAATACCGTAGTTAACATTAATTGGACATAAATGCTACACCAGTGTCCACTTCAAAACACACGTCAAGCACTTACCTTATCAACAATCAAACAGCCATCATTAATCCTCAAGAACGAAACCAAATCACTTTCTTGTGTTCTTATCAGTGTGATTATTTCCCTCAGATGGTTTTATTATAGAAGTAATGAGGAGAAAATGTTCCAGTGATCACCGCGCAGGAACAAAAACACTACACCCTCCACGCACCGCCGCTACCACAACACTGAGCTGACACCTGCACTGTAACAACCTCCAGTCCTCAATGACCAGGTCCACCGCCACCTCCACCATCACATGCCATTGCTCACTAGCGAGTGCAATTATGTTTTTTAATATTACCTTTGAAACTCCATTATTAGATAACTACTAGGTGACTTCAGTAAAGACATTAACATAAGAAGTATTTTACTGTTTATTGATGTTTCCTAGTGATAGAAAATGGAAAATATTGCATTTATTATCATGCATGGCATCACTCTTGCCATAACACATAAACCACAAATCTTTATTAATTAAATTTCCTTAAAGTACAAAGTCAATGGTAGGTCATGTTAGATTAGCAGTACGGTGGTTATTCTTCAAATGAAATAGGCCGACGTGCAAACTTAAAGTGGCTGTAAAGTTTTCTTATTCATGATAAATTTAGATTAGTTACTGCCCTGTCATTCATGCCAATACGGAAACAAATAAGTACCTTTTTAACCCCCGCATTTTCCTTCCATTTAACATACAGTAGTAGTAATCAATATTGTGCTTGAGCAGTTGCTTTGTGTTTATAATAAAAATTTTCAACTGCAATTGTAACCGAATTTAAAGACAACCTTGAGTAAAATAAGGTCTCAGTAATTTAGTATTAGTTTCCAGGTCCTTTAACGTTCATTTCTTTTGATAATTATTGATGTTCTTATTTATCACTATACTGTAGATGCACAATATAGATTAGCTAAGCAAGTTTAACATAACATACTTACAAAGGCAGTCATTGGATCAGCTAAATAAATCACACGTACTCTGCAGTAACCATTTCAATGAAAATCATTATTTGATCCCCAGTAATCAAACTTTTTGTTATTGTTAATGTGTTTTTTATTATTAGTTTTTATAGTTAAACAAAACTTTATACACACTGAGGATTGAGTCATAAACATATATTACAAATGAAATGAGTTGTAATAATTTGAGGGGTGACGGTGACAGCATTAACACTGTAAGCCACAAGGAACCTATGGTGGACGTAGAGCAACATCAGTCTTAAGGGTTAATGCTGGAGTGTTCCAAGGCTATTTTTTCCCTATTTTTTCATCTCATGTGGATAATCGGTGGACAAACTCATTATAAGTTACAATGTCACTAATCTACATCTAATTTCAAATCCGTCTGCTCATAATACGACATCCACTTTTAGTTGTGATCCCAATGTCTTCACTAACTGGAAAACTGAGACGATTTTATATCTCTAATTCTCAAGTTTTATCCACATCACACAAGATCCTCAAGCACTTTCCCATCACACATGCTAGAAAATTATCTGCTATCCTCCTCCATCTTCAACACCATTATCATATTCTCCGCCCACAGTAATATTTAAGGACTATTAATAATTCACTACAATACTTTAGGAAGGAAACACATCCTAATCTACGCATTCAATTCTTCATAAAAACCATCCCAATAAACGTCATAAGGAAGAGACCAACCATCTGAATGGCTAGTAAAATGATGAATTTTCTGTGTAGGTTCTTTGGCAGATCCTTTCTTTATGACATAGGCCTAGTGAGATCATGGTGAGGTTAGGAACTGTCTTTGTTCTGAGTAAGTTCAATTAATAATTCCTATTTCAATCCAGATGCTCTACTACTTCCCATCAATCCATTAACACAGCTTAGATGTTGTAGCTACAAGTACAGTCCTCTTTTTCCTCTCACCTTCAATTTCCTGCTCCACACTGTAGCAGACCTCTCTCTCCCTCAGCACATTTAACCTTCCACAGTTACAGTAACCTGCAGCTTAGGTGGGAGGTACGTAGGCACCTCCTTACATCCACAAACCAACTTTCTTTTCTCCAGCAGAGTTCAAGAGGTGCTCCAAGTATAGGTAACAATGTAAGACTAGTCGGTGTTGTCATCACGTTCGTATATTTTCTGAGCAAAAAAAAAAAGTTCTTTATCAGTACATTTGGATCTAATTATTAACATATGTAAAGTTCAATTCCAAATTATTTCAGTATCAATAAAACTTATACATGAGAAACTTACCTCCTCAATAGAGATCTTCTAGTACTGTGCATCGTTAAAAAATACAAGTTTGGAGAGGTTCATAAAAATAACCCATATCATACAGGAAATATATATTTATTTATTGATATATACAGATTTGGTGACATGATTCTAAAATACATTTTATAACATCTCATAACATAGTCTTGACCTTTCCTAGTGGGTCTATAAAAGTGACAACTGGGCCGTAGCCACCAGGGTTCCCAAGTGTTGAAGCTCGTTGAATTCTAGGACATTCTCGGAGATTTACAAAGCTTACAAACCCTGCCGGTACTTAACCCAGTCTGTGAGGCTCAATTCGCTGTTAATTAGCCAGGGAAAAGTCTCATTTAGGTTTATTATCTAAGAATCAACAATTCTTGACAAGAAAGGATTAGAGGTGAAAGACATTTGGAGCCTCCTTCTAGAGGTGAATGAATCTGATACAAGTTTTCTGTTGGAATGTTACGATTTTTGAAGATCATTCAGTGAAAATAATGGCACATGCAAAAAAAATAATAATAATTATAAATAAAATAGTGGTTATTGATATTAGAGAATTATCTCTGATGTCACTGTCTTTGGCACTAAGCTTTTCTATTGCACAGGGAGTTTCAAGTGCACATTTGTTCTTTACAATTCTGTATTCTATTTACAGAAACAGTCACAGTCTTACAGAAACAACACAACATAGGCGTAGGAACATTATTGTCACTGGTGGCACACATTTTATGGTGCTTAGCTCTTTTGAGGGATATACACTGCAAAATATTGCAGTCTCTCAATGTTTGGGTGGGAAGGGGCGCAAAAGCCAGGTGACCCCCTCCAGTTCCGACGCCTATGCAAATGGATGTACAGTAGAAGTGATAAATTATTAAATATCAACAACGTTAAAACAATGAAACAATGCAGCTGTCTTATAGTGGGGTTTTCTATTTTTGTATTTTTTTCTATTTTAACAGTGAGTCGTCAGGACTACACTAGGGATAAGTGCAGCATTACCAGCTAATAAGTACAGTATATGGGATAAAGCTTCTTCGTAAAGTCCACTACATAAATACGGCCTACATAATGGAAAAAGCTTCATATTTTTGTATGTAATCTGAACGTTTGTACACAGTATATGTTTGTGGCATGACACGCCTGCAAGGCTCTCTCACCGACACATCCTCAGAGTATAATTCAGTTGCCCACCAGGAGATGCGTGAGTTTGTGCAGTGTAAGCTGAGCTTCCTGCAGGTGGTCATGTCATTTAATTCTGAGCAAAATGAAGTTCATGCAAGAGGTAATATTATTAACAGAGATGAGAAAGAGAAACTCAGTTCATACAACGAACCATTAGCTACACTGTTCTCGAGAGTTATCACTTCATCCGCTTGGCAGTTTATGAAATGGTTAATAAAAGCCTCAGCTGTCTTATAAATAGATCCCAAAAGAGTGAAACCATACTGTTGACCCCCTATGTAGGTGTCATGCAAAGCTGCAGTACATCATGGCCTCAATTTTGCTGATATCACGCCTGGAATTTCATGGCGGCTGTTGCCGTCATTGCCCCCTGACTGGCCATGATGTCCCTTGCAAACAAAGAAAAGAAACAGTCTTCATGACCACTCTGCTGTGCCCCTCTTCTGTTTTGGCCATTGTGTTTTTTCATGAATATCCAGGCCTGTGGTACTATGGCCAGAGGGGTCCAGGAGTCCACCTGACTGTTGTCGGTGAGTCACTTGGCAACCAGAAGTAATGTGTGTCATCACAATCAATGACATCTGTGCCCAAGCTGCCCATGATGAGAAGATATTCCCAAATATCTGAAAAAAAATTAAGCAAAGGTCAATCGATTATGTACAAAACTGTCAACATGAAAGCAAATATAATATACAGTATTACAGTACCGTACAGTATATCTTATGAACTCTTTGATATCTCTCACTTCCCATGTGTTAGGTAGCTACTCAAACTATGAATAATACAAAAGAAAAAAAATTCATCAGATGTAAATTATTATTTGTAAGGACATTGATTTTACTGTTTTGTAGAGGAAAGAAATGCTGATCTAATTTCATAAGGTTAAAATTTTCTGTCATCTAGGGAAACACTACTGAAATGTAGCAGTACTACAAGGAGCAAATTATTTCCTTCCCTCCTCCTTACTTGTTCTTCTTTGAAATTAGTGAATAATCCCCACATAACTGTATACTGTATCAGAGATTCGACATTAATTTTCCTACAACTTTCTAAAAACTTAAGATTGTATTAGTCTTCTTTTGTCTTTCTCTATCCTGATTTATCTTCCAGCTATTATTTTCCACCATACATATATTACTTAAAGCCAACCTTAGTCTCTTTACACAATCAAATAATAAAAAGTAAAATCAAGAAAGGGCAAAAGAAACACTTTAGGGATAAGGTGGCCTGGAGGTTCTTTTGCCTTGTTCGACCCCTTGGAGAGGAGATCCATAGGGTAGTGAGGTATCAGAGAGAGAGAGAGAAAAGAGAATGAGAGAAATGGAAAAAAAAAATCTAGAGGATAAAAACAAAATTCAAAGTACCTTGGATGTGCATGATCTGAATTAGGTTGGTTGCTGAAGAACAGTTAGTGAGATTTTTCCTCTGGTCTTCCGAAGAAAGTCTATGACAGATTCTGAATCCCAGCCGACGACATCCACACCGTTGACCTAAAAAGATGGAAATAAGAGTGTTAATTCAACTCAGTGTTCTGTCAGTGATGCAGGTGTGTACTATTTAACATGAATCACTATTTTTTGCTACTTCACACATTTTTTTCATTACGTATCTGAATATTTCTATGATCATTAAGCCAAAATATACCACAAGCAAACACATTTGTTATATCAGTAAGAGTGAAGGAATGAAGAGTAGCAGGGCAAGATCTAATCCCTGATACATAACATTTAAACAGCTAGTATGTTACTGCATTCCCTTAAACTAGCATCCCTTTCAGGCTTAAAGGGATGCTTGTCTACTCAAGGGTTGTTACAACAACATTGGTAAGTCCAGCCAACACCAATAGTGTACTGTACTCCTCTTATAGTCAAGATCAAGAGTACAAGCGCTTTGTACAAGGAGGGAACCCAATCCTCCACATTCATCACTGAAATTGTCACCACTCGTTTGCCTTAAAAGGCAGATGCTCCACCAGTGAACTATGGAGCCAGGCAGTTACTGAGATAATAAATGACACACAAGAAACTTCTGTGACTTACCTTTACAATTATATCTCCTATGTTCAGACGACCATCTTTGGCAGCAACACTGTCAGCATAGATAGCTGTGATGATTGTTTCATCCCCTTGAGGCTGTAAGGAGAAGCCCAAACGGCTGTTCCACCCACGGTTGAGTTCTAGCGTCACCATCTGTAATAAAGGAATTATATTAAGACAGGTCCTCTGTTGTAAACATTTTAATAACTATAATGAACCTAACCTTAAAAAATTATACCTACAGCTGGAGCTAAAGTACTGCTCTATGCTGGATACTGTATGCTAATCTGCTAATGAACTTAAATGAAACAAATGTGAGGATGTACAGACAGGTGCAAGGTGAAAAATTATAAACTTCAAGCAATGGAAGAGAGAAAAAGAAGGCAGGTTAATCATATGTTTGATTATAACATGTTTTCTTGTGAATTTACCACACGTCTCTGGGTAGACTAAGACTAAATCCAATGAAAAGTCAAATGTTCCAAGTATCTATTGAGTTGTCGTTGATGTTGGCCACAGCAAATGTTCAGGCCTGGTATTTAATTAATGAGTGGTAAGAGAAAAAACAGTGTTCCCTACCTTTGGTTTTTGTGACTTGGGTGATCCCCCAGTACTATCGTCATCCTTAACGGACTCTTCTGTCGATGTACTGTCTTCCTCGTCGGGCGTAAACACAATCCCCTTCCACTTCAGTAAGCCATTATTAGAAGGCCCTTCATTTTCGTGCCCACTTATATTGTGGTCTGAAGTGGTATTTGTGAGTGTCAGGTCTTCGTGTTGATGGAGCGCCCCAAGGTTGACACTGTGGTATCCCTGGTGGAGGTGAGAGAATGCTGGGGTGTCACTGTGAGCTGAAGTCAATTGGGGGGCAGAATCTAAGGAGTCCGCTGAGGGGTACTGAGCACCTAGTGGGGATGGGAATGAGTGGTCCACTTCATGGGGTGGTGTAAATTGTGTTTTGCGGGGACAACTGCGCCCATTACTTAGATCTAAAAAGCTTGGTCTCTTGGGTCTGGATGACTCTGAGCTGGAAGGTGTGAGTGAGCAGGAGGACGCAGCGGAGGAGTTTCTTGAGCGGATAGTTGTGGAGGTTGAGTCATCGGTCTGACTATCACCAAATGGAGAAGTTTCATGGTCTGTTTCTCTAATGCTGTTTAGTGACATTTTGTTCTCTAATATAGGACTCCCTGGCAGAGATTCTTCTGTCTTCCTCACCAGTGAATCCCATCCTGTGGACAGAGAAATAATCATAAGCTACAGTTCTATCCCAGGGGAGAGGAGGATGAGATATTTAAACCTACCAGAAATTTTAATGGATAGAGGTCATAGAAGCACAGATCCCAGAAAAAATTACCACAAGATATATAATGAAGGATGCTTGATGATGCGACACCAAAAAGGGTGTATACAATACAGAATAGGCAGTCAATAGGCCACTCTTATAGAGGACAACTCCCAGGGGACTATGGCATTACTGTTTAAAAAAGAGAAAGGATAGAGACAATACTATTGGATAACAATATAAACCAATCTTGGTGTTAAAAAATAAAAACTGAGGTTCATCAGGTGACTGACAGAGGTTTCAATGCAACACTTGAAATGAACAGAACTATAAGAAATAAAGTTTGAAAGTCAAGCAATATTGTTGAAAAAAAAAATTCCATTTTTAATATGGATCTGATTTACATAACACTTCCATACTCACTGTCTACAACAACACTCTTGATATCGGGGCTGGGTGTCTTTTGTAGACGCCGTCTTCTTGGAGTTCCGGGAGAACTTGTGGCACCAACCAAACTTAGTGAATTGCCAGGGGACTGTTTTCTCATGGCCAAGTCTGTCAACATGTCTCTTGCTTCTTTACGGAGAGCTTTTGGTTTTAAGATGACATCAGGTTCAGTGGGGGAGGCTGGAGACACAGGAGTCTGCATGGCATCCCTGAAATTATATTCATAATTATTAAAAAGAAAACCACCAAATTGTCTGAAGTGCAGACAAATGATATACTACTGCATAAATTAAGTAATGCTAAAAGAAAAATATAGAAATATTATAAAACTAAGAACTAAAAGAGGATACTGTACTGGTAAAATAGTAAAATGGTGTAAAGTTTATTTTAACTTCTTAAAGAAAGGAAGGAAATGACAAGGGAGACTAATGCCAGGCAAGAGTAGGAAGTGACTATAAAGGTTTGTCACATGTGGAAATGTTCTTCACACATTTCCCCATATACGCAACCGAAGTACAGTACTGTCCAGTAAAGACAAAGTGAATTATTAATCTCTAACTTGATCCACGCTGCTTTATGCTGAAAGACTGTGCTTAACGAGTCAGAATATGTCAAATTCCAAATTTATAATAAGACAAACATACCTGTATAATTTTAGAGTAACAGTTTCAGGACAGGTGCGCAAGAATGCGATGGCCTCTTCATGACTCAAATTGCACATGTTGGTGTTGTTGACAGAGATAATCTTGTCTCCTGGTCGTAACCTGCCATCAGAAATAGCAGGTTCTTTCACCAGAGAGCGTATGATGTGTCCCAAGATGCTGTTATCTTGCTTGCGTAGCGTGAAGCCCAGCGATCCAGCGACTTTGGTTAGCTCCACCTCAAACTCCTGGAAAGCATAAATTCCAATGGTTTCATTCAATACATAATTTTTTCTTTTAACTCATGCAAACCTCATACAGTACTTCATTGCCAGACTAAATAGTATACAGTATTCCATTATGGAGTTCCCCTTCCACAAGGTCTGAAGACACTCATCTGGTTGATCCCTGTTACTTTACACAACTCACTACACACAACACAATAATATACCACAGCTGTAGTCCTTAGTTCATAGAGATTGTAATACACTTGTTTGAATTACAAAGTATCATGAACCCAATAAATACATTTATTACGTATAAAATACATATAACAAATCTAAGTCTGGGCATAGTAACTCCATTCACATTACAGATCAGATAGCTTTGATCACCCCCCGATTAAAAATCTTTATGCAACTCCCAGTATAGAACTCCATTCAAGGAGAGGATCACCCGCTATAGCGTTATCAATGAAGTAGTGTTCTTTCTCCTATTGACACAATTCTTTTAATTCACCTTATTCACATTAAAGTCTGTTGGTTGGTTGGGTTCACACTCCTAACATTAAGGAAATTCTTATTGAAAAATTCAGTCAGTCAGTTCATCATTTATTATGGATGACTGACTTACTGAGAAAATTTACTATTGTATATGAAGATTAGGCACCCCAGCTTATTTTATCTGATGATTAAATACCCTAATCCTGCCTGAAGAGGTTAGGTTAGATGATGAGAGTTCTTCTTACTTAATGTCTCTTCATTCTCACTCTAATTCTTCCCTCTCTTTTAACTCCCATTCTCAACACCTTTTTTTTCTTTCTCTCCCATTTCTTTTCCTCAGTTACAGAATTACTTGGGTAACATTATGTACTGCAATCCTCCTCTGATTTGGTTAACTGGTAAATGCTACACACAAATAGAACTACAGTACAACAGATGAAGACTCTCTTACCCCACAGGATGAGAAAGATGGTGATGGTGAGAGGTAGTTATGACTAGTGTTTGGTGCGATCAGGCTGGTAGTGACAACCCCTAAGCCAGAGCCTCCATCTGTGGTGTCCTCACCCTCCCCCAGAGCCCCGCGTGGTGGCCTACACATCTCCAGTGTCACCTCACGCTCGGCGGTACGAAGCATCTCCAACGCCTCCTGCAAAAGAAAAAGTTTTGTTTATTAAATTGCCTTATAGAAATCTGGAAGCTTTTGGCTCTATTCACTAATACAAGAACAAAGGATCACCTAATTGGAAATATGAGCGTGATATAAAATCTAATTTATTTTTTATCTACACATGATACAGATTAATGTTTTTTATACAGGATATAAAATTAAATGTCTTTTATCTACACAAAACAACTGACAATGTTAGATAATGTAATTGTGGTTGGTAGACAGAAAAACGTTCTAAAAATTTGTGTAGGATTCATTTTGTGTACTGAGTGAAGTAGTGATGCAGTAGCTTTATCTAGATTTTTTACATGTTGTCTCTGTCCTTCTTTTACTTTCAGTATGAGAGTAGTGGAAAGATAACTGATGGACAATGATAGAATGAGAGAGAGCAATAAAAGGGTCTCTAAGAAAATTTTTAAAACAGAAGGATTTGAGGATAAGTACCAGGAGTCCAAGACTAATGTGCATTTAGGTTCTACAGACTTAACCTTGTTATACAGTAACAACATGTTTATATGCAGGAAATACTTCTTGTGTGAAATGACTACAAAACATAAAATACACTGTACACTATTAGCCTAGACCCAAGCTATATTCCTTTATCTAAAAAAAAACTTTCACAATAAAATCAAGAATGGCCAAGGTAAAACTACCGTATCTATAAAAAAAAGTGCTGGTGCTTCAGACAAGACTGCATGAGTGTCTGTATAAGACATCCTAGTGTAATTCTTTAACAATACAGGTCCAAGGGTGAAAAAAGCTGTGAAAAAATGAATAGGAAGACTTGCTAGTCCTGCTATACAACAATAAATTAATTACAAACATTCATGTACAGTAACATTGCTTTGCTTCACACAAGGGAGAGTCATATGATGTACTATACTGTAATAGGTACAGTTGTGAACAAAAGTACTGTACTGTCGTCTCTTCTGCTGTTTCAGCAACCCCAAAATTCAGACTTGTGAACCCATTATTCTGTCCATAAATTCTTTGAAGTTATGAGTATGAATTTCAGGGTTTGTGGAGCAGTAGAAGAGACAACAGGACTTTTGTCAGCTAGTGTACATGTACAGTATACTGTACTAATACCCTCTATACTTACATGACTTGATAGACCTGTGAGTGGCTGGGTGTTAGCATGAAGAAGGATGTCCCCAACTTCCAGCTGTCCACAGAGCCATGCAGGAGTCTGTGGATACAACTTCTTGATGCGGATGAGACCAGCATAGGGAACATCACATTCTATGCCACCAGTTACTGCCAACCCCAATCCACGAAGATTCTTGATGACAGTGACTTCAAAAATTGTGCCTGTGGAAAAAATTTTTTTTTAGTGATATTCTCATTTTAACTTTAATACAACATAAAAGCAAGCAGAAAGGTAATAAATATTTCTGCATTCTAAACATGATGATAAATAGAAAGTCTTCTGAAGTTGCAGCAGTACTGGATACAGTACAGTTTAAACATCAAACACATGAGGTACAGGAGTTATTATCTAGTACAGTAACTCCTCTTTTATCACATAAGCACTAAGGAATTTACCGGAGTAATCAATATCTTAGGAAAATGAGATTAGAGACATTTTTATCTGCACCAGTCACCTCTATGAATACCAATTCAGATTCACTCATTCTTGCCGACTCATCTTGTGATCAGTCTCACCTTCATTGATGAATGGAAAGAGCTTCATCAGTTCATGAGTTGTCAAAATCTGGCCTGATGGCAGCTTAAGAGAGCGGTGGTGTTCTTGCTGCTGTATCCCATGATGCTTCTCAGAACCACTGCTGTTGTTGCTGTCCTGGGAGCTGTGACAATACAGAGGTGGTCCTTCTTCCTCTTCTGGTGACCTCTCAGAGCTGTAGCCTGGGTCATAGCCATAGTTGTCCTGTCCGCTGAGTTCACTGTCAAAGCCAAAGTTGTCATGGCCACCGAGGCTGTTGGATCCGCTGACAACATACTTAGCTGCTCTGCCGCTCACGTGACTTACGTCCTCTGGAGGAAATAAATTAAGACGTGGTATTGTTATGCACTGGCAATGTTAAAAAACTATCAAGATCCCCAAAACCATTCCATGTCCAGGCAACACAAAGCATTCAAAACCTAAACTAAACCTAACCTAACCAATGGATCATTATATGTTAAAAAAAGAAAAAAGATTTAGCTGTCCTGGCAATGCCTATACAGTATGGTGTTTGTTGTGCATAACTATTTACTGTATGTAATTACACGGACAATTACATACTTAAAGTTATTTACTCTCAATCTGAATTTTAATCAAAAGAGCCTCAAACTGAATTTTTAAAGCTCCCACACGGTGATTGATCAAATGAGCTCTATCTGTAGTAGGCTCCAGTCCCATTAGGTTTCATTTTACTAGCCTCAACCATTACATGTGGCCCACATAATGTGAGGCACTGTCTTAATGGGCCCCAGTCCTAATGTTTGACTTACATTGGGGCCTATTACAGTTTGGAGACTTGTGACCAGCAACCTTCCACACTTGCTACCAACCTACACTGTAATATTCTAAGTTAATTAACGTAAAACGAACTAAGCCTCAGGAAATTTGCTGAGCAGGCCCTGATTATACATAATTAAACATTGTGTATTCTAAAGCTTAGTGTTATCATACAACCCTTAATGTTTCAAACTTAATGTTGCACTGAGTAAAGTCAACGGGACAATTACCTCGCAATAAATATACGAGTCATAACAATACAGTATATTAATCTTTAAAGAGACTTCTCGATATATTAAAATATTGTACTACTACCCATGTAACTACCATACCAACGGAGATAACCAACTATAATTCAACAACAGAGGTACCAGCTATCCAATAGAGAGTACCAACTACTAGTCATAGGTACCAGCAGGGATACCAACTACTAAACATGTGTACCAAATACTCAACAGTGTTACCAACTGCTGTATCTCATAATCGAAGATCAACGCACCTGGAGGCTTGTGGGCGTAGACATGGTTATTATGGTTGAGATCATGGGAGCGGTGTGGGTAGGCTGGCTGTGGTTGGGCGTCTGTGACCAGCATGTCGCGGGTGTGGTGCTGGTGGTCACTTTCCAGGTCAAGTGAAGTCAAGAGGGCGGGGTCTACGGGCTGTGGGCGTACAGGCTCAACATGACCAGTGCCCCGCCCACTTACAGCTGCAGTTGTGTTGTGGGCGTGAGCAGCAGCTGCCGCCACCCCGCCATATACCTCCACAACACGTTCACCTGTAAGAGAAAATAAGACAAATATGAAACCTCCAACCAATAGGCTCACTGATTTGGGATTGGTTAATATCCTCCACCAATCACCAGCAAATTACTATTCTGTGTATGGTTGGGTAGGAGTTCCATAATTACTCCAGGAATAAAGGCTTTGCAATACCTACAGTAAACCATTATTAAGTCCAAAGTCAGTGTATATATGCACCATAATTATATAACATTAATGTCTAAGTTATTGTAGTAAGTATATGTTGAAATTCTTACATTCTCAAATCATGTGTTATCGTGGACAAAAGTTCGCTCCTTCCCAAACTGAAGCAGTATCGACCCTCACAGCACACCCGCACCAGATAACAATCAGGGTAAGTCAGTTCGGAGACTCATTCCAGTGTCTCAGTTTCACTACAGGGAGCGAACTTTTGTCCACGATAGTACGCTCAGCTCAGCCTTGATCAAGATTAATATTCTGCTCGGCTCTTGAGATAAGCTCATTTCCCGTGCCATGTGATAAGAATTTACATAAAAATATAGGTGTTAGCCTTGGGTTGTTTTTCTGGTTAAAACGTGTAAAAATAGATCCAGAGTTACAGAAGGTCATCATTCAGATATTTACCATCACTGTGTCGCCGCTTGAAGCAACAGCAGCAGCTACTTAACTTCTGCATCACGATCTCCATTCTCAACTGTTTACAACGCCTGTTTACAATGTTTGTAACGAGCGCTTCACCTTTTATATACCACTTATCCTGGCCATCACAAAACACGGCATTTTGTTTACTTGAAGATAGCCGTGAACACCCCGGTCACTAATATAGGAAGTCAAGTTCAATCACTAGTTTACAACGCCCGACCGAACAAGCGACGTAACCCAATTACCACTTTACTTCGTTCACTTGAAGAGACATCCATCAAAATTGATGTCACTTAGTCCAGGTTAAGTGATGATGTCCAACACAGTGCACAGCGAACCACCCACCACACAGCATCCATCACGGCTCCAGTGGCAACAACATTTACCACCAAAACACCCTGCCATCTGCTGGTCTGGACGGTGGTTGCCCGGGACACACAGTTCACGGGGCGGCCAGCTACACCAGCCATGCCAAACATATCGTAGGTCCTGTCATGACTGTCTTGTCTTCGTTCAAAACAGCGCTCTTCAAAATTCCCCCGTAGACTTAAAACATGATCGTCGTGAACTTCATAAATCCACTGTGAAGTTATAACTTCAAGAATCTCCCGTAGACATCAGAAATCCACCGTGAACTTCAAAATTCTTCCCTGGACTTCACATGCAGGCCGTGAACTTCAAAAATCAGCAATGAATTTCCACAGACCCACTGTGAACTTTAAAAATTCGCCGTGAACTTCAACAGTGAGAGTTCCTGGGAACAGCTAAAGGGTAACTGAGGCACAATTATGACAACAAGAGTGTTGAGGGTGAGGGAGGAGCAGTCAGGCAGACGTACAATGGTCTACTGACTGTCAAGGAGCGGTTATCACTACCCTCCCCCCACCTCCTCTTATCACCAACTTAGTTATCAAACTTACCTGATCCGCACGCCTTAGCTCAAAGCCACCTCTTACGTCACTATTTCATGTCGTCAAAGTGAAATTCCACAATGCCACTAAAAAATGTACGTTTTTAGAAGTACAACCGAACGAGAAAAAATACAGGAAATATATCTCCACAAGAGCAAAATAGCCACCATCACCGCGACTAGGTGCAGGGACTATTCATTGATAAACACACAACATATCCGATAAGTGTTTTCTTAAATATTCTAACACTATCATACTTTGGCCTGGACTATCAAAAGCTCACCTGGTTATTAAAGAAGGCACGAAACATCAATACAGTCAATCACAAACACGGCGGGAAATACCTTATTCTTATTATCTGATGGTCGTATCAGTTACAATCTTTTCTTCTGATTTTTTTATTATACTCAAGGCTATACTTAAAATTAATTACGAAAAATAGCATTGCACCGATGATTCAGGAGTTAACATACTATATATCTAATTTACTTACGATGATAATTGACAAAATAAAAATAACATTGTACACAAGAAAAAATAACTGGAATTAATTGATTATTATTTATATTTGTATTAGCAAACAACATTCACTGCGATAATTATTTTAGTCACCAGTTTCTGTTTACACTGATATTAACTGAGCATCCAAGAATAAGCTGCGTATGTGACAATGACGAACAGGTAGGGTAATAACAACGAGTGTGTCTATGACAGTGACGGCATCATGATTCATACAGCCAATAAGTGTCACGCCAGCCTGACGGCAACGTAGACACATACATAAAGTCTGACCTTCACCTCACGATTTCAGTTATACATACAGCCAAACAATAAGTCAAGGCAGCTGGGGATAAGCTAATTGTGGGTCAAGAATAATCCCAACTACTTGAGATGCAGTGTCAAACGTACAGGAACGAGCAAACACCCACAAAATTAAATAAAAGACTAAAAATATCAGCAAGTAAACACAATCTTTTAACGGTACACAAAACCTTAGTGACTCACCCTGACAAGACAGCGGCAACGTAAAGCCAAAATCGAACTTGGAACCCCAGAGGAGAGGACACTCAAGTGGTGAGGCTACCAACATGGCGATGGCAGATGTTAGGTCAACTGTATTATTTAGGTAGTGGAATTATGACCAGAGGGGGTTGGTAAGGTGGGATTTCTCCTTTTCTACTGATTATGGCCAATACTTAACACACTCCCCACCACTCCAGGGTTCCTTCACTACCCACACCGAAGACTGAACTGTCTGTACCGCGGCCGTCTGCTTCGCGGGGGATCAGAAACGGATACGACTCGCTCGACTCCATCCTCTCTTGCTTACGTCAGTCTAACTATCAGAATTGTGGGGGAAATGTACAACAGCTCAAAATAATCCCTCTGTCGTTATAAGGCAGGATTTCCTGTGCGTCACCGAAGGTTGGGTGCCCGGGAGAATACAATTAGTAGTTTTTTTTTTCAAGAATGGAATCTTTCGTAACCTTCACTGAATGGCTCCAGATGCAGTTCGTCTTCTAAATATTTCGACTACCGAGACGGAATATTAATCGGACTCAGATTCGTGTAGGGTTGGTTAAAGTCAGACCTGGTTGGTTCATGTTTACTGCCATGTATTATTATTTCATATTCAGGCTATGACCTACTCACTACTAAATAGGTCCATCCCGCCGCCCGAGTGAAAGATTCCCAAGCAATAACTTCACAAAAATTCGTGAATGTAAACGGAACACGGTAGACAGTTTTACATCGATGATACCTGGCCAAGTTGGATAATCAGGATATTCCAAATGTATCCATGATCGACCCAGAAAAACGAATCAGGATATCAATCGATTAATTATCTATGGTTAATAATCTTCAACAGACTTATAAATACCTACTGAAATACATAAATATTTATTCCAAGTCATTATCAATATTTTATAGTATTTTATCAGTTTATTATCCAGAACGAAATAGGTTAAATCCAACTAATCTTTCAGTACACATTATAAAGTCTTTTCCTTACTTTAGTCTGCGTCGTGATTTTTTTAATGTCAAAGGCAAACAAAACGAAATAAAACTGCAAGGCTCGAGGCTTTAGAGAGTTAATGAAACGTCGCGGAAAACCCATTTGATGTCAAAAATAGGAGTCGTTTGATCGTTCCCGCTGAGAGAGTGTAATGAACCAACCGACACCAGACGAACGAACCCTTTAACCAAGAAGCCTAGCGTATATATCTGACGAAAACTAGTACTACTACTATTAATACCACTACTACTACTATTACTATTAATACCACTACTACTACTAATAATGGTGATGATGATTTGCATTATACAACACCCATTAGCTCATTCACGACAAACATTCACACACATTATTCGTCTCTCGCTCTTGTCGTTCCACCATCACTTGGCTCTACTCCAACATCTACTGCCGTCTCCCTCACAAAAATTGGCCTCATTCTGTCATTTCTGATTCACTCTTCGTCCTTATCTAATTTAATCCCTTTTTTTTATCAACCTTTGTGTTTTTGTTCCATATCTGGTTATTATTATTATTATTGTCGTGCATAATCGTAGCCTACAATAAGCAAATGACCAGATTAATATAAGAAAAGCAATGAAATAAAATCACCACAGCAAATACCCACAAAGGGTCAGCGGAAACACCTGCAGACGCTCAATGCAAATGACAACTCCAATACCTAGTACTCATAGGGAATGTAAATATATGGAAATGACCGCCGCCGATACGCGCAAATTAGCCACGATGAAGTTTAGTCTTTCACAAATAATGAACCGCAGCGCCTTTTACGGTCAGGCGTGAGACAATGGTCCCTATTACACCCACCAGTCAGACATAAACAAGTGTCTCTCTCACTCTTAAGAAATCGACCAACACGCGTCACTGTGTACTTGAGAGGGTTGTTGGTCAAATGGGCCCCTGTCCTAACAGGCCCCTGATCTACGTAATTATCGTTTTGGCCCTGGGGTTAATAAGGATTGAGGCCTTGGGAGAAGGATTTTAATGGTTAGGTTTAGTTCGGGCCTATTAGGGTTGGGTCCAATTACAACTGAGACTCAACCCTATTAATAAGCTCCAATATATTAAGTTGGGGGGGGGGCCTTCTCTCTTATTGCATACATGGTTAATTAAGTTTATTTTTGTGATATTCAAATTATCATAAAAAAATCAACGTGTCCTTGGAATACAAACACCATAAATGAGCACTGAAGGCAGCCATTGTTTACCAAGACAGTCTTTCAGTGGCCATTCATTATGTATAGAAGCGCACAACACCAGGAACTCCAGACAGCTACACTTGAGAAGTTAAACATGGAAAGCTCATTACGACAACACCATGGTCATTCTATACAGACAGACGCAAAAGAAGGTGAGCTCAATTTGGAAGCCTTTGAGTTAGGTATAAAAGGCAAAGAACTCGTGATGATAACATGAAGTCATGCATCATATACAGATGAGGTTATAATATCGGAAATTTTGAGGGGAATGCAATACTAAATCTCAATGTAAAACACGGGGAACACGTGATGGCAATACCAAAGCTGGGCGAAAAACACGGGGAACTCTTGAGGGTAATATTGTAGCTCAGCGTAAAACACGGTGAGCTCGTGGCGGCAATATTAAAGTGGCGTCTGTGTTTTCTTAATGTTAAAACAAACATCGATGAAGGTAGAGTTTCGCAACGTTTTGAGTGATGAGTTATAATGTAAACAATAACACTGAATATTCCTCAGTCTATTTCCTTGAAGGTTCTTGCGATGAATTTTCCTCTTAATTAAAGTTGTTAAAATGTACTTAACTAACTTCAACATTAAACTTCTCTACTCCAGTTCAATTAACACTGGATAAAACTTAACGTAAGGTCTTAAATTGCCTCCTAATTGGCGCCAATTTAAGTAGTTTGTTTAGGCAGAGTTTCAGTGTAATTCTGATTTTTTTCAAGCTCCATTTTTTATGATTTAACTTAAGCCAACTAGTTAGGTATATTATCCAATTACAAGGGACAACCATCGTATAAACCTGGAATAATCCTGACTACCACTTTTCCCAGAAGGCTTCAGCAATGTGTACAATATATTATTTTTCCTGGTAATTTGCTTGAGGCGGTAGATGTAATAAGTAAAATGAAGAAAGCTGTCGCAGCTTCCATATAAAACGACCTCCCGATGGCAACAGTAACAGAAGCCAGGAGTCACCAAGCTACTCAACACAAGAGGCTTCACTATACTAGTCCTTAACTAAGAAGCAATGATGACTTCACAATAACCTATGATGTAACAGTGTTGATGTAACCTTGTGATGATGACCACCATTATGACGAGGCGCTTAAAATATACACATGTTTGGAGATGAAGTTTAAAGTGAATTAATTTTTCCACTAAAGTCGAAATAGTGACGCCAGACCCCATCTAACAGGCTCACAGGACACACAAATTGTTGATAAAATGACTTCGAATTGGTTTGAAGTCTCTATCGTATCTCAAGCTTGGAGGGATAATTGAAATATTAACGAGCACTGATGCCTCCATGTCTCTACCAATAACTTAGCATGTTAGATGTGCTCTTACGTCACCTAATACGGGGATAATATACACCAAACCTAATCCCCTTGAATACGGATTCAGGGTGGCGGCTTTAGACTAACGTACGCATTAGCTAATTGAGGAACGTCATGACTGGCGGGAGAGACTCTGTGCCAAACGTGACCTCCATAAACACGCTCTTTCAACCACCATTCACCGTCAGTAGGTGTTTGAGGTTAATTTTACCCAACCAGAATGAGTTGCTGAAATAAATACGTTCATGTAAAAAAAATATATATAAATACTCCTTTACGTGGATATATGTGAAGTCTGAATAAAGCGTCGGGTGTCATTGAAGATTAACAACATACGAT